CAGTGTATATATATATATATATATATATATATATATATATATATATATATATATATATATATATATATATATATATATATATACATATATATATATATATATATATATATATATATATATATATATAAATTATATATATATATATATATATATATATATATATATATATATATATATATATATATATATATATATATATATATATATATATATATATATATATATATATATATATATATATATATATATATATATATATATATATATATATATATATATATACATATATATATATATATACACTTAACATATATATACATATATATATATATATATATACATATATATATATATATACATATATATATATATATATATATATATATATATATATATATATATATATATATAAACAGTGATCCCTTGGTTAACGAGCTACCTCCCATAAGATTCTTAACTTCGGTTAAAGAGTTTCTTACGAGCCGACCTCAACAAGTTTTGGCTTGCACTTGGCGGTCAACCAGCTTTAGTATTAGTCCGCCAATACATTAATCGGTTCTAGGGCTTAAATTCCTTACTATTTTAGTAAATATCAATAAGTTTATACTATTCAATAATTTTTAAAGTTTAATATTAAATTTTTTAGTCATTTTAACAATTATTGAACATAATTGAAGGTAAAGTGACTTAGTTTTATGCGCGCCATCCAGCCTCTTAACACAGCAAACAGGCGTTAGTCTCTCTCTGTTTTCAGTGGAGGTAACATCTTGCTTGAGACTCTTCAACTGAATGCTTTTTTTCTCTGTTTCCAAGCAAATTATTGGTCATTTTGAAATTTATTTTACATAATGACAATATATAACGCAGTGTAGTGTTATTTTAAAGAAACTATTCTTTATTTATAGCAAGTTTAACTTTATAAAACACGGGTTGACATTGTTTGAATCCAGCATGGGGCCTAAGAGATCAAGAAAAACGATTTCAATCCAAAGCAAGCAGGAAATTATAAAAAAACATGAACGAGGCATTAGAACAAATGCGCTATGCAAAGAATATGGCATGTCGACATCAACTGTGTCGACAATTCTTGCACAGAAAGACAAATTCAAAGAAGTGAAAGGGAGAGAGAAATCTACAAGTGTGTTTAAAAGTAGATCCCTAATTGCAGAAAATGAGAGGTTACTTCTCATCCTTTCTTTCAACTTCTTATCATGGTTCAGTTATATTCAATACAATGGATTAACCTGGGAAAGCCATTTCATTCCTTTCCACATTATTTTCAGTGTTTACTCTACTTACACAGGTAGACTGCCACCACCCAGGCTAATACAGTATTATCAAACGGTTAGGTAGCGAGCTTAGGCAAGTGAGGTACAGTAGTTATTTTCAGAGAGAAAATACCAGAAATAACTGAGCAGTGACACTCGTAGTTTACCAATTCAATATTTATTAAACTTAAGATTGAACAAGATATAAATTTAACACACTCAGACAAGACTGGACCTTTAGGTCTTACCTTACAAGTAACCAAATAGATCTTCAATTATTTATTACAACACTCCATAATTGTTATATTGCATCTTTGACAATACAGGTGGTTATTTTACAACCTTGTCAACATCATAGATATTACCACATTAGTTACATCATCATGTTATTCGGAATGAACAACACGGAATCTTACCGTATCTCACCTTGGGTAACAACCCATATAACAGGCATTAACACTGGCAATAGCCATGTGTATGATTTCAATACTTAACCAAGGGCAATTATATTTCTGCTAATTATCCCCAATTATGTATAAGAATACTGCTTAGCATATATAACCAAGATTAGAGCACCCGGCAGGATTTAATTACACTGGGCATGGGGGTTGTTACTACACAAACAGCCGAAGCTTGTTCGCTGGTAGTGCCGGGGTAGACTCGATGCAGTGTATCTGCACGGTGTTCCCTGGGTGCGTCTGTCCTCAGATTCTAATCTCGCCTTATTACAGACCTCCTTCAATGAACATCTTGACCATAGGCGGCTACCGAACCTCGGTAGCGGTGAAAACACAGACAGTGCCTGGAGATGCGATGAGGAAGAGTCATGAGCGTGTTAAAAGGTCGAACCTCAACTACTCATAACCATACATCTGGCAACGATACACACGATGCTTATGCTTACGTTACTGTTATTATAATTAGCTATGTTAAAACATGAACACTGATATTCACCCAATTTAACTGAGTTAAACTGACTTAACTTGGCGGGGTGAGACAAACCTCAGTAGCATTTGGAAACTCGGGCATCCCTCAAGGGCGATATTAGTACTTCGTCACTTACTGGCAGACTCGACACTCACTCACTTGACAAGTTTAACGAACATTAATACAGTTGAAGCCTTCAACATCACTCACAGTGGATCTTGAATGTTTCATCTGTAATCAGACATATGTAATACAATATAATGTCACAGGGTTCTCTCCCAATTTCAAATCTCCGAAGCTGACATGAGCTCTTAAGAAATAACAGTTTGGAGATATTTGACATTAAGAGAAAACGGTAGGCTCAGGTGTCCTGACGTGATAAGAAAATGGACGCCTCCGATGGGGGACTTAATAATGAAGGCATAGCTACATGCTTTAGGGACTATGGAGCATAATATGAATCTTAAGACTTGTGTTAACTAACCTGTACTAACACGATCGGTACAAAACTTTCTCCTCTCCGAGATTCATATTATGCTGTAGAGTCACCAAAACATTTTCAGTAATTATATATTTGTACTCTTTAAAAACCTACACCACAATACACAGTTAACTGTCAACAATGCACACATCTAACATGTCAGAGCATTTGACATACATAAAAATTTGCACATTAAATGAATAAAATTACAAAACCTCTAGACACGGGTAAATGAAATTATCAAAGCAATACTGTCATGGACACATAGAAAAACATAGAATCATACATCAACACCAGGTTGACATCCCTTATCCGAAATCCTTGGGGCCAGTTGTTTCGGATTTTGTAATTTTTCGGATTTCAGAATGGTTAGGTTAGGTTTTTTTTTCAGGGATTAGCCCACCTAGGCATAGGACACAGACCCACATCAGGGCCTGGGGGGCAAAAATATAATAGTAGTAGTAGAAATAATACAGTAATGTCATAGATTGTGTTTCTCACTTTTGATCTTTTTTCATTCTTGTATTTATTATTATTATTATTATTATTATTATTATGTTACTAATATTTTCTTGCTATTATTATTATTATCATTATTATTTTTTTTTGTAATATTATTATTATTATTATTACTACTACATTTTCATCCCCAGGCCCCAATGTGGGTCAGTGACCTGTGCCAGGGTGGACTAATCTTCGAACACGGAGACACCTGGCAACTTAAGGCCGTTTGTTTACTATAGTATGTGGTATAATATAATACGAAACAACAAAGCCCAACCATTAATTAAACAACGGGGAACAAAGTAACCAATCACCAATCAATTTTACATCCAGCAGTGTTTGAAGAATCTTGAATGAGACTGTACATTAGGCTCACACTGAGGTTTAACAATAGAGTTCTCAGGCTAGGAATAGACGAATTGGTCCCATCCAGCCACTGAATTATTCGGGTTGACCGTATCACAAAGTAGTCACTCTCAGCTCACAAGACGAGGCAAGATCTACTGGCCAGAGCTAAAATGGTCTCAAATAGACAATAGTGCCGACGCAACGGTCCTCACGAGACCCAAAACATCCAATGCTCTTCAGTCTCCCTGCCACAAAAGCATTTAAACTGCACCAGGTCCATGTAACTGTACACACCTGGCCATTGCTTAAGTCTACAAACAACTACTTTCTGTACAAAATCCAGTCCTACCTAGGCTAGAACCTCCAACAAAACCCGAGTACTCAACAAAACAGAATGGTCCCACTAATCTCCATGCCCATACTGCATACTGACAAGCTCGAAAGGCAATACACACACTCACTACTAGCTAGAAAGGCCATACAGCATAGTCAATGTTCACAATCCACAAATCTAAACTACAAGATACAAGTGCCTACACAACATCACCTTACAAGTTACAGGTATACAATAACGACAACCAAGAGACGTGACAGTCCAATAGCGTCTTTCCCTAAAGATCCATTCGAATTACTGGTTTCCTCTTTCTCACCGGAAACCTAGCTCCAGGAACCTCAATTGGACTCCCGTCACTCCCCACACTCTCTCTCTCATCCAGTTCTGATTCTGATGAAGAATCACAAGATGGAACCAGAATGTCATTCCCCTGCACAAACATATCTCTACTCACAAATCTTTTTACTTTCTCAGCTGCTCTTTTGATTACATCTGTCTTGTCTGAAAAGTTAGTGAGTTCATTGGCGGCCCCGTCACGTATATCAGTTACAGTATAAGGACCCATCCATTTAGCATTCAATTTTCTACTAGTCCCTGGAAGAGGCAATTCATTTCTCACCCATACCGTCTCGCCCAATTGTACCGATTGGTTAAGTCTATCCTTACTGGCTCTTTGAATGACTTCTTTTGACATTCTCACAGAAGTTTCTATCATCATTCGGTGCACTTCTCTCAACCCTTCATTACTCTCATTCTCTGCTACAGGTAAATCAATGCCCACTTGTCGTTGTGAGTGTCTTGAAGAGAAAGCAAAGTGTGGTTGCACCCCTGTAGTGGTGTGTCCAGCGGTATTTAAAGCGCACTGAGTTGGACCTAAGAACTTGGGCCAACTTCTTGGGTTATCTTCACACATGACGGCAAGGAGGGTTTTAAAGGTTCGGTGCATTCTTTCTGTAACACTGTTGCCTCGCGGATGGTAAGGCAAGGTAAAATATGTTCTAATGTTGCTCATTTTACAAAATTCCTCAAACTGTGCAGCCGTAAATTCCTCTCCATTATCTGCAATCACCATTTTAGGGCTACCAAATGCATTAGTGAATTTCTCAAATTCTCGGTTAACTTCTTGGGTCGTCTTAGTACGAAGAGGGTAGAAATTAACAAATCTAGAGTAATGGTCGATGACCGTCAACACATACCGGTAATCATTGACACCAGCATGCAAGTCAGTCAAGTCGACAGAAATTCGCTCTAGAGGTTTGGTAACTGCCGGCATTTCCTGCCATTGTTGGACGAGTCCCTTAGTTCCCGTAACTCTTTGACAGGTTTCACAAGATTTTACAAATTTAACACAATCTGTACGGTAGTTAGGCCAATAGAATAGACTTGCTACTCTGGCAATGGTCTTCCACTGTCCTAAGTGACCTGACTTTGCACTATTGTGTACTAACTCCAAGGCAGCTTTACGTAAATGATCGGGTACCACCAGGCAATCGAGTAATGCTTTGTCAATCTGTTCTTTTACTAGGTATAAAACTCCATTAACTACTTCAAACTTATCAATGGTGGTTCCAGGGTATTTATGCATAGGTACCTTTCCTCCTTTCAAATACTGCACGAGTTCTTCCCACCTTGGTTCTTTCTGTTGCTCTAGACCAAATTCTGCAAGCGTTAAACCATCTAGTCTGGGAAATTGAGCCGTTAGGTTGTCCCACACCACTTTTCTTAAGGCACTAATTGGTCTACTTAAAGTGTCAGCCACAACATTTGTTTTATTCAGCTTATAATCAATGACAAAGGAATATTCTTTCATTTCTAACATCCACCTGTTCATTCTTTGACTCTTAGTCTTCTTCCTAAAAACTGAGGTCAGAGGTTGATGGTCAGTTTTGATAGTAAATTGTGTACCCCACAGAAAATGATGGAAGAACCGGCATGCTAACACAATTCCTAGTGCTTCCTTATCAGTTGCGGAATAAAAAGTCTCAGCTGGTTTTAACTTTCTGGAAAAATAACCGACTGGGCGTAGCGAGCCATCTTCCTGTACCTGGTTAAGGGAAGCTCCTACACAAACATCACTGGCATTACTGTGCAATTCAAAAGATTTGTCGATATTTGCTTTAACGAGGACTGGAAATGCGGCAAGCTCTTGTTTCAAAGTTTCAAAAGATTTCTGACACTTATCAGTCCACACAAAATCATCACTGTTCTTAGTGAGCTCGGTGATAGGATAAGCTATCTTGGCAAAATTGGGAACATGTTTACGATAGAAGCTACACATTCCTAAAAATTTATGAACTTGTTTCACATTTGTTGGGGGTTTACACTCTGATACAGCTTGGACATTCACTGGATCAGGTTTAATGCCACTTTCTGACACTACATGCCCTAAAAATTTGACTTCTTGTTGGCCAAACTGACATTTTGATAAGTTTAACTCAATTCCCATCTCTATGAATCTATCAAATACTCTGGCTAGCCTGTCTAACAAGGTTGCAAAATCATTAGCCCACACTATAACATTGTCGAGGTAGTTTCTTACCCAGTCCTCAGCTGCTAAAGGGGCTAATACTCGGTTTACTTCTCGGGTGAAAATTGCGGGACTGACTAAAAGTCCAAAGGGTAAATTTGTAAACCTCCATAAGTTATACCCTTCACTGAAGGTGGTTAGATCTCGACTTTTGTCGTTAAGTATCACTTGATAATATGAGTCTTTCAAGTCTAAAGTGGCATAATATTTATTTCCTGCAGCTTTCTCTAATAATTCATCTAATCTGGGCAAGGGTTGTATATCTACTGTCAAGTGTTGGTTTACCGCTCTGAAATCTAAACACATACGTTTGGAGCCATTGGGTTTAGTGACTAAGACTATGGGAGATAGCCAAGCAGCTGTTGACGGCTCAATGATGTTTCTATCTTGCATGTCGGTGATCATGTCTTTAATGATAGCTTTAACTTTTTCAGGGTGTCGGTACTGTGGTTCTCTAACTGGGTTATCATTGGCTAATTGAATGTTAGCAGGGGGACCAGCAATGGTACCTATTTCCTGAGGTCCAAACACAAACAAGGCTGTGTGATCTAGAATTACATTTCTCAACATCTTATGCATATCTCTAGTCAAATGTGGCCATTGTTGATTTCTTATTATTTCTTTCAACTTCTCCTGTCTATTGTCCCTTATTTACTTCATCACAATCTGGTATCATACTGTTAGAAATCCCCTGAATATGTCTTACTGTATTGATGGAAGATGTTGGTATGCCATTACAGATCACAAAAGGAATTGATGGTCCACTAGCATTATCAACTGGAATGACTTTCACAGTACTAGAAGGCCTACTCTCCTTTTCAGTTTGTATTGCTAAGTGATGGGGTGCACACAAGGAAATTTCATTAGATTGGCTGACTTTACATAACTCATCATATACTTGTGGAATGTTTCCCAGGTTAGTCCCTTTATTATCTAAGTAAGAAATCTCTTGCTCCAGAATTAGTTCACACTCCCCAAGCATAGTACCGGCACACAAACGAACTGCTTTCTGGGTTACATTATTAAGGGGAACATATATATAAGAATCAGAATGTACCCTCACACATATCTCGGGTTGTTGTTTAAATTTTTGATGGGTAAATCTGAGGCTTAAGATCTGACCTTCTTCTGCTCTAACTTTAATGGCCCTAATCTGTGAGCTATGGCTAGGTAATACGGTTTTCTTATTAATGTGAATATACGTGAACACTGGGTGACATGTTAGGGTTGTCTCTGATGGTAACCGGTTAATACATTTGATTCCCTTGGTGTTTTCCCTTACCGGTACCCTCCCACACATCTGTGAATGACCTGCCCAGATGAAAATTCTCTTTCTCTGTTTCCATTCTACTCTAAATCTCCCAAGGATGTCGGCTCCCAATAGCATATCAGTGCCGATGTAGTGATCATCAACGATCAGAGCTTGATGACGGATTTTCTTTTGAGGGGTTACCTTTACTTCTACTACTACTACTGTGCCTTTTACAGTCAGCTCTTCTCCAGTAACAGATTTGTATTTACAATGCCTAATGGGCCCTACGCCTAAGGTTTTAACAAAACTCAGAGAAATTAAAGTCACTTCACCGTCTGTATCAATTAAAGCTGTACAGTTACGTCCTCCACTGCCAATCGTATCAAAGGGGAAAAACTGGAAGGAATCGTTTTCCGTCCTTGACGGGAAGATTGGGCGCGAGCTTGGCGACCGGGACAGTTTCGTTGGAATCTCCTGCAACCTAGTCTCATACAATCCCAACATGAACCTTTAGGAGGTTTTAATGGACAGGTGTCAGGAGTGTGGTCTTGTGTTCTACAATATACACAATATGGTCCACGTCGCTGGGCCACCAAAGTTTGACGGGGTGTTACACTTGGACTTTGTTCATTTACTTCTCGTGGCACATTCACTTTCTTTCCTGCACTACCTCCCTTACGAGACCCTCTTTCATTCTCAACAGTCTCATACACTGGTCCTATTTGATTTGTTCCCTTTTGAAATTTTCTTTCTGATGGAGAACCCAAGTTGCGAGATCCCATATACATACTTCTCTGCCTATCCAACACATTCACAAAACTCTCTAATGGACAGGATTCAGACATATACCCCTTCATCTCAGCTTGCAATTGTCTCGGTAAAGTGTCAAACATTTTCTCTTTCATGGTGTTATCTCGCCCTGGCAGTCTCCCAAATCTACCTTCCAGGGCTGCAAATTTGGCTTTAAGTTCTCCCAGAAACCAGCGGGGATTATCATTCACATCATACTTTAACTGAGCGAACTCAGACCAGGCATCCTCAAAATTGAACTCAGACGAGGCATCCTCAAAATTTATGCGACTCGCAAACAAGGTTCTTAAAGCACGTTTTATACCATCCCAACCCTCTTCACCTAACTGACAAACCTCAGTTTTGACCATGGTGGAGACACGTCTATCCATTCGACTGATAGCTACCTCCCATCTATCCTGAGGATCTTCGGCTACATACTCTACCCGACGACAAAAATCAGTTATAGTATCTTGAGCCTCCAACCCTACTAACTCATCCAATGTCAACCTCGGAATATCTTTAGGACCTAGCAAAGGGGAACCTCTATGATATATAGATTTAAGGGACGAAGAAAGTTGGACCCTCGGGTGGCTGGGAGTTCTAGCGCAAGCAAAGGCACCATCTAAAAACTGACTTACCTCCCGCCTTGGTGACAGGTTTTGAGGGGAAGGGTTAGATGGCGGAACAACACCCGGGAGATGGGAACTCACCTCACTGAATATGGGTGCTGATCGGCCTGACATAACTTGTTCTAGCAGCACTTGAAGTGTTTGCAGGACTTCATTAGGCAATACTGGAGGTTCACCTGAGCCCGGTTCCTGTCTACCCCTGATTTCTGCCATCCTGCCGTGAAATTACTACACTTCTTGCAACCCCTCAGATACAATCCCCACACAAACTGCTCAGATAAATGCCCAAATGCTCAGACAAACTCCCCCAATTGGCAATACAGGTACTCTATTATTACGAGAAGAAAGAAAATAAAATGGTACTAGTCACAATTGGTAAAAAAATTTGGTAATGCACTCTTAAGTAATCTTAGAGCTTTTGTACACCTCTATATAACAAAGAGGTACCACACTGACACATAAACTTTAGCACAATGCCTAACTGATTAATCCAAAAAATAAAAAATCATAGTAATAGTACAGGAGACCAACATAACAAAAATTTACTCTCCTTCAGAAAACACAAGTACAGTTACAAAACACCAAAGGTACTGAGTAAGGATCAAATTATTAATCTAGTTTTCATGAATGACTAACACAAAAGCAGATTCTCTGCACAGTATTCAATAAGTATTCACTGTCTCTTTCAATGCACTGTGTTAACGATTCACAAATTACTCCGTACTGTACTCACAATTGTTGATCCATACATCATACTAGTATTCAACAATCCATTTTCAGATATTGCATTCACTTAGGCGTCCATTTCACCAAACAAAGTATTCAACACTTCGCGTCCATTTCACCATGCAAAGTCTTCAACCCAATCAATACAATTCCTGAAAATATACACAAATTAGTTCTCAAGTAACATACAGTACACTTATTAATAATGCAGGTAAATATCCACTGCAAGAAATGCTAATGCTCTAAGCAATAAAATTATTGTTTAAAGAAACCACACCAAAATATAAAATAGTAAAAAAAAAAAAATTTTCCAAGTTAATATCTGTTATAAGTTTTTATTCCAGTTTACTTATTTCTATCTGGTCATTTCCTAAAGTTTACTTTTCTTACTTATTGTTTATTTCTCATATTTTCCACTTACTCCTTTCTTTCAATTTCTTATCATGGCTCAGTTTTATTCAATACAATGGATTAACCTGGGAAAACCAGGTAGACTGCCACCACCCAGGCTGATACAGTATTATCAAACGGTTAGGTAGCGAGCTTAGGCAAGTGAGGTACAGTAGTTATTTTCAGACAAGACTGGACCTTTAGGTCTTACCTTACAAGTAACCAAATAGATCTTCAATTATTTATTACAACACTCCATAATTGTTATATTGCATCTTTGACAATACAGGTGGTTATTTTACAACCTTGTCAACATCATAGATATTACCACATTAGTTACATCATCATGTTATTCGGAATGAACAACACGGAATCTTACCATATCTCACCTTTGGGGGGGTCTGACTAATTACCCAAATGTAGCCGCAATGAAGTCAAATAATGGTCCTACATGAATAAATCGGGTTACCAATCACTTCTCGACTAGTATTTGGTGTCACAAAGTAAAAAAAAATTGGAAAACGTAATTTAATTTGAGTTAATGGATCGAGTGCATGTACCGAACCTAACCTAACCTCGACTAGTATTTGGTGTCACGAAGTCACAAAAATTGGTAAACTTAATTTAATCTGAGTTAATAAATCAAGTGCATGTAGCCTAACCTAATCTGATCTAACCTAACCTAACCTATCCTAACACAACACAACTCAGATTAAATTAAGTTTACCAATTTTTGTGACTATGACACCCAATAATAATCGAGAAGTGATTCACAGCCCGATTTACGCTTGTACGACCATCATTTGACTTCATTGCGGCTACATATGGGTACATTTGGGTAATTACTTGCTCCCTCGGTACATGCACGCGATCTATTAACTCAAATTAAATTACGTTTTCCATTTTTTTTTATTTTGTGACACCAAATGCTAGTCGAGAAGTGATTGGTAACCCGATTTATTCATGTAGGACCATTATTTGACTTCATTGCGGCTACATTTTGCTACATTTGGGTAATTAGTCGGACCGCACCTTGGGTAACAACACATAATACAGGCATTAACACTGGCAATAGCCATGTGTATGATTTCAATACTTACTTTTATTCTCTTCACCACTGAGCACAGGGGTTGTTCCTACACAAACAGCCGAAGCTTGTTCGCTGGTAGTGCCGGGGTAGACTCGATGCAGTGTATCTGCACGGTGTTCCCTGGGTGCGTCTGTCCTCAGATTCTAATCTCGCCTTATTACAGACCTCCTTCAATGAACATCTTGACCATAGGCGGCTACCAAACCTCGGTAGCAGTGAAAACACAGACGGTGCCTGGAGATGAGATGAGGAAGAGTCATGAGCGTGTTAATGTAACGGGCCGAGTTTTCTCTTTTTATAATTTACCCTTCAGATATTCTTTTCTGTTATGATTCTTCAATTCTTTAGTTATAAGTATACTTTAGATTCTTATACAAGTAATTCTCTTCTCAGTTATGTATGTTCTTTATCTTAAACTTTCATGATGTATATGTTTAATAATTTCTATGCGGTGTCGTTAGTTCCATAATGTATATACCTGTCTTATCTTTCTCTTCTTGTACTTTCCAAGTCTTTCATTTCATTCAAATATATTATATTCTCAGTTTCAATGTTCTTACCTTTCGGAAGTATACTTTGTTTTATGTCTATTCTTATACGTGGGTTAGTCTGGGGAACCATGTTACTCTTAGTACAACTCTTTTTATACTTACACAGGGTAGCTGCCACCACCCAGACTTTTCATTATATAACCTAACTCATGGAAGGGTTTTGGGTAGTGTGGTAGATGTATAGGCACGTGAGTAAGCATTATTTTCTGGGAACCAATGTTTAGGGGTAGAGTGGTGATACTCGTAGTTTACTAATTCAATATTTATTAACACAGTGAGTGGAGAAGATGCATCTTAAATTCACTCAGGCTAAACAGACCCGCAATTAACTTATTAAGTCATCAAACACTTCAAGAACTTATTACCTCATTAACCACCTCCAAATACTTAATATACCATTAAACAACTCCAAGTACTTATACCATTCAACAACTATTACTCATTACTTCATTCGACAACTGTTGTATTATTTCTTTGATAAGTAAGATTTAGAAATGACTGCACACTGTCAATAACGCTGGACCCGCAGGTCTTACTTTAACCAGTAACAAATTACCCCTTCAATTCTTGGTTAGAACATTATACTCTCAGGTCATTCTTTCATGGTCACTACATACGAATATATAACACACTGGACAACTCCACAATTAGAGTAACAAACAATACCTCCTGTTAGTTCGCAAGGAACAACCTGGTACCTTGAACTCTCATTCAGTGGTTCAATACTTAACATGGGATGACTATATTTCTGCTAGTCATCCCCAAGCATGGATATTAATACGGCTCCATACCTATAACCAAGAACAGTAGGTAGACCATGATCATACAACGGAGTCAGTGGGCCAGAGTCGTTAACAGGCTCGCTCGCTGGCTCGGAGCACCTGGCCCGGGAAAGGAATCTCGCCACCTTAAAGACGTCCTTCGAGAGACATCGTGCCCATAGGCGGCTCCCGAACTTCAGGAGTGTTGCTAACCCCCACAACAGGGTCTGGAGACGTGGAGGAGAAATCACAGAGGGAGTGAATATATAACTTCACTATACAAAACATACGTCTGGCACCGGTTCAGACGATAGCTAGATCTCTACTTTACTTGACTCAATTGGCACGGAAGGTACTATGTTAAAACATTGAACACTGATATTCACAAAAATGACTAAGTTAAACTGAGTTAATATGGCGGCGTGGAACACACGTGAACATACCTGGGGCCGTGGAGGAGAAATCACAGAACGAGAAATTTCCCCTCGCGCGCCTGCATATATACGGGCCTGAGGGCATATTCCTACTAGAAAGACAAATTTTACTAACAATAGGCTCTCTATTCAAAGTAGTCACTGGACACCTAGCTGTGACCGTTAGTGTCACAGATCAGGCTAATTTTCTACATCTATATTTATGATTTAATCAGAGATTGAGTTTGTCAGTAAAGAGGTGAAATGGAGTTATATATGCGTTCGCAACTCTATTGGCCTGACCGCAAACCACATCCCAGGTCAAACGGCCGTTAAGTCTTGGAGAATTTTGAGTTTGACAGGAACTGTTCAGAAGATTAATGACTTTCTTCAATAGACAACTGACACTGACTAAACTATGAACATCAGATTCTCTGATGTCGGGGCGACAAAATAATATAACTTCAGTAGCGATCAGACACCCATGGGTATCCCCACGGACGACATAAAATACGCCACTCTAGCTGGCCAACTCAACACTCGCCTACTTGACACGTCTTACTAACAATAAGGACAGTTGAAGCGTTCAACACCACTCACAATGGATCTTGAATGTTCCAACTGTAAACAGACATATCTAAGTTGACTCAAAACAAGGGTGTTCCCTCTCACATTCAAATTCATTTTATAGAGAGGTTGGTTTCAGTAAGTCAGAGAAAATGGGATAACGGAGGACTGAGGTGTCTTGAAGTGATGAGAAAACGGAGTCCTCAGATGGAGGACTCAAAATAAAAGCAGAGGTACATGTTTTGTGGGCTATTGAGCGTAATATGAATCATTTGATTTTGGCGTTAACTGATGTGTATGACCGTGGTCGTTACATTAAAAGGTCGAACCTCAACTACTCATAACCATACGTCTGACAACGATACAGACGATGCTTATGCTTACGTTACTGTTATTATAATTAGATATGTTAAAACATGAACACTGATATTCACCCAATTTAACCGAGTTAAACTGACTTAACTTGGCGGGGTGAGACAAACGTCCACATACCTGGAGATGCGATGAGGAAACGTCACTGGCTTGTGAGGTTGGTGACTTGGCGTGTGAAGCTTCCAAGTTTAGAAGCTCCAAAAATTGTTGGTAGCGAAAGGCAGAGCGGGGAAGATGCCTTTCAAAGTTTAGAAGATCCAAAACGTTATTGGTGGCGAAAGGCAGTGCGGGGGATGCCTCTTCGTGCATTCGTTTATATACAGGCATCTGGCAACTCAGCCATGCCAGAAAGACTAAATACGCAAAGACAGAAATTACATCTAAATCAGCTGTTATACATTTAGCTATGAAAATCAGTGCCATGGGTCGGGTGAATTTCTTACGTCTATTTTTATAATCTAATCAGAGGTTGAGCTTGCCAGGAAAATTTTAAATGAAAGTTAAATTCACCAGCTGACAACGGTTCTTTCACGTTCTCAGCAAGTCTACACAGCCCCATTATGAGAATACAGTTACATACTGAAGATAAGGAGTTTGACATATTCTTTTCAGGAGATTAATGACTTTTAAAACTAGATAACTGACAATCATTCAACAACGAACCTCAGATTCTCTTATGTTCGGGCATCACAAAGTTCTAACTTCAGCAACAATTGGAAACACACACAGGCATCCCTCAAGGGCGATATTAGTACTTCGTCACTTACTGGCAGACTCGACACTCACTTACTTGACAAGTTTAACGAACATTAATACAGTTGAAGCTTTCAACATCACTCACAGTGGATCTTGAATGTTTCATCTGTAATCAGACATATGTAATACAATATAATGTCACAGGGTTCTCTCCCAATTTCATATCTCCGAAGCTGACATGAGCTCTTAAGAAATAACAGTTTGGGAGATATTTGACATTAAGAGAAAACGGTAGGCTCAGGTGTCCTGAAGTGATAAGAAAACGGACGCCTCCGATGGGTGACTTAATAATGAAGGCATAGCTACATGCTTTAGGGACTATGGAGCATAATATGAATCCTAAGACTTGTGTTAACTAACCTGTACTAACACGATCGGTACATTGTGACGGCAACGAGTGTGAGCTGTTTCAAGACCAGACTTGACCAACACTGGAGCAGGTTCACATCAGTGTTGCCATTTTAGCGGTTTTCCCCGCTAAATCTAGATGGTTTGACCCACCATCTAGCGGGTAAATTTGCTGTCTAGCTGCTAGTGTTTTAGTTTTTGCGGATTTAATTGATGTCTGGCGGATTTCTAACGGTTTTAGTTATATAATTATACTTCTCCCTAGTCTGTACTCACCCCTGAAGGACCTACTCGGCTGTAACCAAATTAACAAAGGAAACAACTAAAGTCCTTGAAAAGGTAGCCTCACAACCCCCAGCTCAACCTATAGTGCTCAACCTGGGAAGTCAACTGTCGGTTAAAATCATGACGGCAATAATACACGCCCACCTCTTGAGTATTGCCAAACCAGGATGCTTTGCTGAAAGGGTAAAGGAAATGTTCGCGGCAAATAACCTCCCATTTCACAACAAGAAACTGTTATACAACCTGAACAAGCATTCGTATATAGCACCCCTAAAAAGGTCAAAATGGGAATTGTGGCTCCACTGTAACGGGCCGAGCTTCCTCTTTTCAATAATTTACCATACAGATATTCTTTTCTGTTAGTATTCTATTTATTCATATACTTATTTGTTCTGTAGCATTCTTTCCAATGAGTATCCTGTTTTATATAGTTATCCTTCTTCAGTTCTTTACATACATACTTACTCTTATATAATATATCTTTGCTTATATTCTTATATGTTCTTTATCTCTATATACCTTATATTCTTATATAAGTAACTCTTATGCTTCTCTGCTTATGTTTTCCAAGTCAATGTTCTTTCTTTAAGTTTCCTTTCATATATTATAATCTCTTCCATATATTTTGTTCTTGTTATATTCTAAACCATGGATTAACCTGGGAAACCATGTCTTTGTTATTACCACACTTATTATACTTACAACGGTAGCCTGCCACCACCCAGGATTTTTCTAGAATATAACATCTCTTAGTTAACTGTTAGGTAGCGAGCTTCTAGGCACGTGAGTTAGTTATTTTCTGAGAACCAATGTGGGAAAGGATAGAGTGGTGATACTCGTAGACGTAGATTACTAATTCAATATTTATTAACACAGTGATTGGATAAGATGCATCTTAGATTCACTCAGACAAAGCAGAACTGCAATTTATTTCTTAAGTCATCAAACACTTCAAGAACTTATTACCTCATTAAATACCTCCAAATACTTATTACTTCAATCGACAATTGTGGTATTATCACTCTGCCAAATGATATTCAGTACTGGGTATACACCAGATATCACTGGACCCTCAGGTCTTGCCTTACCAAGTAGCAAATTCACTCTTCACTTCTTGGTTATATCATTATACTCTCAGATTATCATTTCATGGTCACTACCAATGAATACATAACACACTGAACAACTCCACAATTATCTCAACATACAATACCTCCTGTTAATTCACAAGGAACAACATGGCACTTTTAACTCTCATCCGGTGGTTCAATACTTAACCTGGGATACTATATTTCTGCTAGTTATCCCCCAAACAAGATACCATAATACTTAGGCCTATGTAACTGTGAGGAGTGCCCCAGGGTAACGCTGGTCTCTACAACAAATGAAGATCGCTGTTAGGGGTCGGTTGTAGACCGACACACGCTCAGGGAGTTGGCGACTGATTTGCAGGAAACAGACTTCCCAGTTCAGTCCTGTCGAATCAACGGCATCGTCCAACCCGGTTACCGCCCCACGTTAGCCGATGAGTATTCAGCTCAACCCACTGGAGAGACGTTGAGGAAGTCACGAATGCCTAAAGGTCTAACTTCAACTATACAAAACATACGCCTGGCAACGGTTCAGACAATATCTAAATCTCTACGTTACTCGACTTAATTGGCACAGAATTCACTATGTTAACACATGAGCACTGATATTCACCAAAATTGACTAAGTTAAACTGAATTAATAGGCGGCGGGAACACACGTTAACATACCTGGAGAGACGTTGAGGAAGTCACGAATGCGTGATTCTCCCTCGTGTCGAGGTATATACGTGCAATCGCGGGGCAGCTTGGGCCTCCGTATTCATACCAGAAGGGTCGATCTTACCAACAACAAAACTTCTCTATCATTTTGGATCACTGTATACTTAGTTATGAACTCCGGTGTTCTTGATCAGGGTAATTTCCTATGTCTATTCATATAATCTAATCAGAGGTTGAGCTTGCCAGGAAAAGGTGGAATATACACGTCGATAACATTAATTCTGCAAGCTCAGGCCTGAGACGAAACAAGGAGCTAGTCACGGGGAGGCGCTAGATCTTGGAGATTATACCAGTTGACAGAATAGTTCAGGAGATTAATGACTTTCTCAAATAGACAACTGACACTAATTAAACTATAAACATCAGATTCTCTGATGTCTGGGCGACAAAATGATATAACTTCAGGCGCGATCAGAAACTCATGGATACCCTCACGGACGACATAAAATACGCCACTCTAGCTGGCAAACTCGACACTCACTTACTTGACACGTTCTACTAACGATAAGGACAGTTGAAGCATTCTACCCCACTCACAATGGATCTTGAATGTTCCAACTGTAAACAGACATATCTAAGTTGACTCAAAACAAAGGTGTTCTCTCTCACACTCACATTCATTTTATAGAGAGGTTGGTTTCAGTAAGTCAGAGAAAATGGGATAACGGA